TTTTTTTTTTAAGGCTTCTCTTTTTTTTTTGTCTTGGGAGTTTTTATTAATTTTATTTTATTTTATTTTATTTTATTTATTTTATTTATTATTTTTTAGTTTAATTTTTAAAATTTTTTTTACAGAGGTACTGGGGATTGAACCCAGGACATTGTGCATGCTAAGCACACGCTCTACCACTGAACTATACCTGCCCTGCCGATAGCTATCTATTTTGAATCATCCTTTCACGATGCTCCCCAAGCAGACCTACAAGCCTTAGCAAGTCGTGTCTCCTCTGTGCCCCCGTTTCCTCATCTGTGAAACTGAGGATAACAGTCCTTACTTCATAAGGGTATTAAATCCTTGTTGAAAGTGTTAAGTGAGGTTGTGTCTTTAGACATTTTATCCCATATTAAGTACCAAGTAATTGCTCACTCGTATGGTGTCTGCCAACTGTAGTTTGCCCCTGTTAACAATACCAGGCGATTCCCTCTACAGTTCCCAAATCAAATTAAAGCACAAAGAAACTGCCTACATTTTTTTAAGTTTTATTATGAAAACACTTGGAATGAGTTGCATTATCCATGTATCCGCAACAGCAGAGACACAGTGATGGTGGACCATCCCCATGGGGGACACACGTCCTTTGACAAAACTAACATAAATAATGGGAAACACCACCAAATACAATAACACAGCACATTATAAAGATTAAATTAAGAGAAGGAACAGGGACTATGGAGAGGAGTCGTGAGCATGGAAAGGGTGCGTCTCGCTGAGAAGCGTCAGGCTCAGGTGACCTTCCCTGGAGAACACCTGCCCTGGGCTCCGAGCAGCTCAGTTCAGTTCCAGGTCATCCATGTACTCCTGGACCCAGGACTCGCTGGGGTTGGCACACACCTGCCTGCCCTTTTTGGTTTGGAATCTGTGGAATAAGGAGTGGACAGATTAGAATCCCCTGGGACCTTGCCTGTTGTGGGGGTCTCTCCCTCTGCGTGGCCGGGGCCCATGTTGGACAGTCAAGTGCATGGGAAAACCCTTCCTGGGGTGCTGCTGGGACCGGATTCATTATAACTTCCACCCTGGATTTCGCTGTGGCCTCCTGTGTTGCCCAGGAGCCAATGAGTTTTGCAAACAGTATGGACGTATCTCCCCATTCACTCCCTGCTGTCCCTGACTTTTCCACTGTTTTCTAAGCACAGTTTTAGTAATCAGCCCACATCTCCCGTCATCTTTTTGACTTTCCGAGGTTTCCTGGCCTCTGGCTAGCTTCCTCCCCAGAAAGTGCCTCCCCCTCCCCTGAGGTCCCTCTAGGATTCAACAGGTGACTTCATGGCCTGTTCCTCTCTGCTTTCCTTGAGGCCGCCAGCTCAGACCTGCCTCCCTGAGGCCTCATCTCTCCTGGTCTCTCCTGCCCCAGGCAGGCCTCCTGTTCTAATCCCGCCCTTATTCTCTCCTCCCAGAAAGGCCCCAGGGGCGATACTCACACCACGGCTGGCTGGGAGCAGAGGCTGCTGGTCTCATAGTAATCCATCACGAAGTTGCGAGGAAGCTTCCGCTGGGCGTAAGAGAAGCAGCAGGAAGTGGGAGGGTCTGAGCCCACTGGAAAGAAAGGCCAAGGGGAGATGAACGATCTGCCCGGAGCTGTTCATTTTGGCTTCTAGGTATACCTATTCAGTGGACATCCCTGTACATCTACCCGATCCCCACATGTGGTCCCTGGCATCCAATCCCACCCACTCTGAGCGGGAGCCTTATTCTGAATAGAGGATCCTAGGAGAAGATTGTGAAAGAATTCTAGAAGGTTGAGGCTGGACTGGGTCTCAGAGGACGTGTCTAACTCCCTTCATTTTACAGATGGGGAAACCAAGGCACAGAGCAAGACAGGCACTTGCTTAAACAAGTCTACTGGTTGCTATTTCTTAAGAAAACAGGAACTTGAATACTGCTGAATGCCTACCAGACTCTACATTTAACTACTGGGAAGTCTTCCTGGCTCCCTTCTGGCGCATCCCCAGATGTCACTGCTGTACTAGCCCCAACGAGAAAAGTCAGCGCTGCCTACATCGTAACCCAGGGGCAGATGAAAGGGCAGACTTACTTGGTGCTGAGAGTGCAGGAGAGCAGAAGGCAGCCAGCAGCACGAGGAGGGAGAGGACAGTCACGCAGAGCTTCATGGTCTTGGCGGAGGAGAGACTTGCCCGGGGCTGAGGCTGCAGAACCCAGAAGCTTCAGAACCCAGCTGTGCTCTGTGCTGATACTGAGTTGGGAACCCCTCTTTATAGGAACTCTGAGCCCTGGTACAGAGGTGAGGGCACAGGAAAGAGGGCGGAATTTCCAGGGTACAGATGATGTCATGGTGCTGATAAGGAAACAAGCTAGCGATGGTGAGGCGTTCGGCACCGCTTTCTCTTCCCCAGCGATGTCATCACGGAGGAAAGCGGAGGGAGGTGGAGGGGAGAAGAAGTGGGCTGAACCCCTAGAGGGAAGTGGTACACCAAAGGCAGTGACGGAGACTTGGGGGAGAGCTGCAAACCCGAGAAAGAAAGATAGAACCTTCACACCTGCTAGAAGGGGCCTGTAGATGAGAATCATGCTGCTCTTAGTGGTTGACACCTCCCGAAAACGGTATCAGTCTTTCCAGGGTGGCCACAAGCCTGGCCCCAAGAAGTAAGAAGCAGCCAGGATTCTGTGTTCCATGTCTAGGCCTCCTTCTGCTGGGCTGAGTGACTTCAATGCCTCTAATGCTTCCTTGGGCATAAAGAAAGAGTGCATATATGTCCATGAATGACTGAAAAATTGTGCTAAACACTGGAATTTGACACAACATTGTAAAATGATTATAAATCAATAAAAAATGTTTAAAAAAAAAAAGAAGAAGAAGAAAGAGTCCAGCATTGAATATGTGGAAGGACCCTGCAGTACGAGTATAACTTCTACTTATTCAACATTTCACCATGTGCCAGGCACTGGGCAATCCGCTCTATACACACCTCTAATCCTGCCATAACCCTGAGCAGGGGTGGATGATTCCCCCGAGGCAATGAGGAACAGAAATCAGAGCAGAGTTTGCAGATAAACACATAACTGTTCAGTGGCAGTGCCAAGATTTGGACTGAGAATCATCTGACTCTAAAATCCATTTTCTTTGCACCCTGTCACCTGCAGGACAAGTACAGGACGTGACCCCAAAGAGAGAAACTGCTGACCGCTAAAGGCCATGCCACCCACAGAGACTCATCTTATTAGGGCTGAATGCAAGAAAAAAAAATTGAAAAACCCTAAAAGGTCTACAC